CCCCCCCCCCACTCTTACAGTTCGTTTGTAATGCGGGGTGCACACTACCGCTGGATCGGGCCGATCGCCCGACTCGATCGCCTGAAACTGAAAACAAGCACGTTGAGTGGATGTGTGGGTCAGGCGATCGGCCCGATCGGCCGATCCCATCCGTAGTGGGCACCCCGTATTAGGCCTCTTGACACTTGACCTTGACACAGTCGTCTGTCGATTGTTTATGTTTACACAATCCCACTGTGTTAACGATCACTGTGTTGATTGTACCTTTAAACTGTGTATTATGATATTTCTGTGGATCGAGATCTAGGCTAGATCTATATGATTGTTTGAACCTGAATATCAACTAGACTTGTGGATTAGATCTAGAATGATGATAATCATAATGGTTGTGATGTAATTTAGAGATTCATCTAGACTAGATCTAGATATCTAGATATCTAGATCTAGATATCTAGAATCTAGAATCTAGATCTACTGCCAGACATTCCATCTAGATCTAGACACAATTGAAGTGTTTCTCTGCGTGTTTTGTGTCAATAAAATTTTGATTTTCCATTCTCTGATACTGCTGACAATGGCGAAGGGCAAGATTCTAGATCTAGATCTAGATAATATCTAGGCTACTCTAGAATTAGAACAAGCGGAAAATACTGTACACCTTGTCGTCATGGGGAGGAAGGGCTCTGTCTATTACTGCCGGACAGGCTACTGTTGGAGGAGGAGAAAGCAATACCTTTCCGCTGATGGAAACGGCTAATCTTTGGACAGAATTCCAGTTTCTCGTTTTACTACTGACATCGAAAAGTGTAGACAGTGGATTAATAAAGTCATTCGATGTGGACACACACACGCCATCTTGCCAAGTACAACAGGTAAGAGATCTGCTATTTATAGAACTCTAAGGTCTCTGTTACTATTACTAGTGTACACCATGCCCTTATGTCTAAAAAGTGACACGTTTTGTGGTCACTGCTCAAGTGACCGATGAGATGAAACGTAATGTCAGATGTCATGGTGCCTCCCTCCCATGTCGAAACTGTCAATGGTGTTGAATCCACACACACCCAATCCCCATGTTGAAACTGTCAATGGTGTTGAATCCACACACACATG